CACTCTCCGTTTTATCATTTCAGAAAGGCTGGCATCGGATGTTCCGTCTCAAAGTGTTCTGAAATATTTCGCGGAAAAGAAGTCTTTGAGATTTCTCGAATTCCAAGCCGAAAACCCTAGGAGAGAACCGGTTTATTGTGCGCCGATGATTAGTTGGTCATAATTTGAGGTGTTAATAAAACGTGGAGTGGATTAAGTAGAAATACGGAGAGACGTGGAGGTTTCTGAGCCTAAGTCTGCCAGGGGTGGTGGGCGTTTTATTAAATCCTGTCTATATTACTGGGCAAAGAAATGGAAATGGTACCGCCATTCTCCAGTTCTTCATATTTTGAAACGCATTACATAAAGGAGCCAGAAAGCGCTTGGGGCTAGGAGCGATGAGGGCTTCTGCTTGAATTCAGGACTAGGAGATGAGCCGCTGAAGGCGTTCTTCGCATTTCGTCGGGAGTGATTTATGTACTGCTGGGTCCGTGGTTGTGATCAGTTCACGCAGTCCCTCCCTTCCGTGCTTCCGAGCTCATCCTGCTTATTTCAATGCCTGACGTCTCAGGATACTTCACAGGTTTTCAGAAAGTCTGGGTATGTTGACAGGTATTGATTCTCCTCATAGCTGATTAGCGTCGAGAAGAGCTGAAAGTTAGTTGAATACTGCAAGAGGACAACTTCCAAGAAATGAAATGCAGGCGAGAGTTCGCTTTACACGAGTAGGGTGTTGGGAGTAGTGTCCTGTCCAACCCATCGGAACTGCGGTCCCACTGAAGCCATTTCTTGCTAGCTAATTGACCTTGCAAACATTTTATTGGAACTGAATCAGTTGAACCCGGTGTGAATGTCGAAAATATGTTTCTGTTGGCAATGCCTTTTTTGCGAGCCTCACTGCAGCTCGGGCGGCTGTATCCCATCTGAGGATGGATGTGTGGGGCAATACACTCAATTGGTGTCTATCTAAATGAGATGAGGAATGGTTTCTTTTGATGTTTTTTCAACAGCTTGGTAGAAGCATTGGAACCGGTTTCCAAGGTCGGGACTTCCGCTTTGCTATGAGCGTGTGTGCGTGACAACCAGCATAGTTTGTAATGTATTGTAATTATTTTGCTAATTGTGCAATGCTGCTGCTTTCTTTCACATTAGCAGTTGCTACGCAGTGATGTATCACCTAAAGAGTGTTAAACACCTTGGCGTTGTATCGGATACTGCTGCTAAAATAAGTTCCATTCGATGATAGAATAAGCTGACGTTTTAGGCTCGCGAAAATTCAGTGAAAATCGAAATTTTATTTATAGGCATTCTTCCGGCATTCTGATGTATTGGATGTTAATGCGATCTATTCGAATGATCTGAATCTGATTCTGCATCAGTACGGAGTCGAAGCATGTTCGAGAGCCATCGTTCAGGTGGGTTAGAGGGTTCCTCCTTCGCACATGCTATTTTTACGGAACATTGTCATAAAGTGCACAAGGCTTACCAGTTAAGCTGTAAGGTACAGTTAAAACGATTATTCCCGCCACACCATGGATTTCAACAAGTACGAATGGTGTTATACTCAGGCTGGAGCCGTGGATGTGTTATCCATCCAGGCTCATGGATGTGATTATTTCATCGCTGTTGCGGTAGCATAGCTAACAGAAACCTAAATATACTGTACTGAGGGCAAGCTTTGATCGTGGACCCAGGTGAAAAATCTGTGAAGGAAGCAGAAAATTGTTTCAAATGTGTAGGTGTCGTCTTCATTGCTTGTTGGCCAGGATTCCCAAGAACATGGCACTTGCGGACAGCAGGGGTCGGAGAGAGGGTAGCTGAAGTACACATATAGTGAAAAAGATAAGGACCGCTCCGTCACTTTTTGGGATACGCCACGTTGTCTACGTCCATTCAGAGATGTAGTGGCTTTCTAAATGCGATTTGGCCTATTCAGTAACTTACGAGGTCAACAGGAGAACGGATGAGAGTCTTCATTTTCCTCTGAGAGCACGGTACCTACACTGCGTATTATAAGTACAGGAACACAGCAAATGTTTTGCTTTTCGGAACTTGCTGTGCCCTGTGCTCATCAGCGAGTTCTTCGAATATCTCAATGTCTAACTTATCTCAATCTCTAACTAAG